GGCTTGAGTAATGTTGACCAAAGTGTCCACTTGTATGCATTTTTTTGGCACCCCTGATATACTAGACACCTACCCTTTCTCCCCAAAAATAAGACCTAGCTGGAAAATAAGCCATAGCATGATTTTAGGTGCCAAAATATGGCACCTTGACATACTGAATATTTTAAGGTAAAGGAATTTGTGGAAAAGGCACCCTTCTCTTTGAAATAGGTCATAAAACCCTCATGTGAGGGGTGCGTGCCCTCCATATTCTGGAGGGATCATGCTACGGCTTATTCTCCGGCTGGGTCTTATTTTTGGGAAAACATGGTAGATAAGATGGCATGAAAGGGGTTGCGAAAGTGAGGGGACACGGCATTTGCTTATATAAGTTGCTTATATATGGTGTATCACTCCCTCTGTAGCTAAATAGTTGTGAGACTTTGAGCAAGTCATAGACCCTCTCTGTGATGCTATTTCACATCTGTAATGTGGAGATGTTGTGTGATAATGAGCATAAATCAATTTTAGCTTGATGCCAGGCTAAAGTAGGTGCTTGATAAATGTAAGCTTTGGTTGATTAAAAAAAAAGAAAAAAGTAACACTGCCATTTGTGACAACATGGATGGATCTTGAGATTATCAAACGAAGCGAAATAAGTCAAACAGAAAAAGTCGAGACTCATATGACTTCACTCATTGTGGGATATAAAACTGAAAGCAACAAAGGAACAAGACAAACAAAGAAACAAAAACTCATAGACACAGACAACAGTTTAGTGGTTGCCAGAGGCTAAGGAGGGAGGGAGGTGGCAGAAGAGGGTAAAGGGGGTCAAATATATGATGATGGAAGGAGAACTGACTCTGAGTGGTAAACACACAATGCAATATATAGATGATGTATTACAGAAATGTACACTTGAAACCTATATAATTTTACTAACCAATGTCACCCCAATACATTTAATAAACAAAAATAAATTTTTAAGTGAGAAAATATTGTGAAGTAAATGACAAGAAAAATACAACCTATCAAAATTATGGGATACAGATAATGTCCTTAGCTGGAAACTTACAGCTGTAAATACTTAGAAAAGAAGATCTAAAATCAATGACTAAAGGTTCA